CCAAACAGAGCTCAATAATTTTGGTACTGAATTACAGGCACTGTGGTTTTTTTCCTCCAGAGTCCCCACTGTCAGTTCTCAGTACACTTGGAGTGAAAAAGGGGTTACTTTTCTTTTGAAAAAGATTTTAAAGACAAGTTGTCCTCCTTTTCCTTACAGGGAGGTTGGCTGTTCTTCACCGTCATTCTTATGAGTACTGTGAGGCTTTGATGAATGATGGAGGGAAAGAGCCCTGGAGATGACTGAGTCCACTGTATAGGCACATTTTTGGTTTTGAGATCTAATTCAGCCCCCACTCCCTGGTTGATTAAAAACACCCTTGGATAAGTTTCCCTTAACTTTTTAGCCTTTTGAGAAAATGACTTACAAATGTTACCATTTAGAGGGATATTTGTCTCCCCTAAACAATATAAGCTAGTGCTGTGGTTATTCTTTATAGGGAAAGGATGCAAAGAGACTATACACTTTTTAAAGCCCGGTGTTTAGGTGTAATAGTCCCCCTACAGATAAAGCAGGGAGACACAGGGAGAGGGTAGTGACTTTAAAGGAGCTAAGTTCCTTATTTCTCCCAAACAAGGCATGTTTATTGTTGCCTATGATGATATACTCCAACAAAAATATCAACCATTGAAGACTAGAAATAGGAACTTAAACCAATGTAGAGAGCCAAGCAACTGACACTTGTGCTCCAGTTCAGACCAAGTACAGTGAGAAGAAACTGTAGTGGTGCTTGGTTCCACATCATCTTTTAGCACAAGAAAGGGCGCTCAAAGAACTATTATGTTATGAAGATTTTATGAGATGCTATGTTTTGGATCTTTTAAGGGATATTAAGGTATGTTTGTTAGAGCACAGGATGGGAACTGAGAGTTCTGAATCATCTTCTGCCCTCTGGCAATCATTCCAGGGATATCACACATTTATCTCTCTATACCTCAACTTTACCTCAATTGTAAAATACTTCCATAGTTTCATAGATGGAAGGGTTGGAAGGGACCTGAGCAGATCATCAAGTCCAACCCCCTGTCATGGGCAGGAAAGGATGCTGGGGTCAAATGACCCTGGCTAGGTGATTATCTAGCCTCCTTTAGAAGATGCCCAAGGTAGGTATAACACAACTTATCTACCTAAAAGAGGTGCTTGTGAGTCTTAATTAATTTATACTTATAAAGTACTGCATGTTCCTCAGATATATTTTTATTAGCATGCATTCCATATTCTCCTCTTTTTGGCTCATCCAAAGGGTTGTTAATATATTTAAATCTACTTATATTCACCAAATGCCAATAAAAAAATTAGCAACTGACAGTTTACACATGTTATTTAACAGGCCCTAGAGTATCCAATTATTAGAAAGTGATGAACCAGCATTGTCTTACACGGTGCCAAGTTTGAAGGCTGTTAAATATCATCTAGCTGGCTCATTAGCTAGTGGGGCAGAACTGATACCAATTTAGACATTTTTCATTGACAACCATATTAAAGAATTCCCCGCCACCCCAAAAGTCTTTTTTAGATTACATTCATTCACCTCTGCTTGTTATGACTTTAGTTTCTTCAGAGCACCAAAGGGAAATAGAAGACAAGCTTCATTTAAACTACACCTATAAAAACCCACCACAATGAATTTTATAGTGTTAAAATGAACAGGGAAATTGTGAAGAATAGAGCTGGACTGGAAAGTGGTTTTCCTGCCCTGTGAAATTTTTCAGGATTTCAAAATTGTCCCATTCTACACTGGGAAGGGACCAAGACCGCCAAAGTTTTTCAAAGACAAAACAAAACAGAGTAAGAATCACGTCAGAATAGCAACTATCCTCAGGATCACAGAAACAGGGGTCCTAACTTAAAATCCCTAGCCTGTATTAGGCAGAGAAGGGACTTGAATCCTAGATAACTCCTCTAACCAACAGGCTAACTCTACTAACAACCAAGATGACTCCCCTAAACATTTGACCATTGTAGAGTGAATCAATCTCAATCTCTTTTCTCATTTTAACCAGAAATCCATCTTGAAATAGGTCCCAGGAACAGTTTTGACAAAACTGGCACATTCTCACAAAACATTTCATTTTTGACAAATGAACTTTTATGATGAAAGCCAGCATTGCCAAAAAGTTCCCAGTTACTCTAGCAAAGAAGTCAGAAGCAGAATGTATTTAATACACATCTTCTGGAGTCTGTTTCTCATGGAGAAGCATGTTGGGAGTGAGCAACAATGGAAGCAACACATGACAGGTTAGCATAACACATGGGCTTCAGAACAACATCGGCATTTAGGAATGCTACCTAAGAAAGTCTCTAACTTTACAATTCTGTTCAAGTCTCATTACAGAAAATATAGCATATGCCTAAATGCTTTCCTAAACTAGGGCCAGGATTTGTTAATATTAAACAAAAGGCTACATACTTCACAATAATCCCTGTAATAATGCAAAGCACTGTACATCAAAGAGCCTCATAACATTAACAAATGAATCCTCACAACAATCCCAAGTAACTTTGCCCTATACAGAGATGAGATTCTCTGCCGAGCCTTTAAAAGACACGGGACAGAATTTGCCATCTAGAAGAAGCAGGGGAGAAAGCCACTTTAAGCTGCCTTTGCTTTTCCTGGTTCATCAGCTGATTCAGGAGATGGAGGGGTCCCAGAGTCATTTTAGGACATGCCTAGATGGCACCACACGACGTCATACAGAAATACACAAGCTAGCTCTAAATGAACTTAAAATCTAAATGAATGAATAAACTGCCTTGGGTACTTGAAGCAATGTACCTACCTTAGGGTAGCTCCACTCTGGTTCACTTATGTCTGCTTCTCTGAATTTGCACGTAGTTTTGAGCCAACCACAAAACTACTTTTTTTGTTAAAGTGTTTGTAGAAAAAAAAAGATTCAGCCATAGTCAAGGGAAACTTTATCAATCACATGTTGCATAACTCTTTGTCCCTCTTATTTGTAGCTATTAAAATGACTGGCAAATTATGGCTGAATCTGAGGGGATGCCAAAGAAACTAGTGTTCAAGGAACCCACTTTGCACAACTGCACAGGCATTTCTGATATGGGACTGTCGAGGTTGTGAACAGGGGCTAGCTAGCAGAGCCAGCAAACTTCTGCTGGCCCAGAAAGAGGTTTCAGAATGGCATGACCAGATGTCTCTGTCTCTCCCCCCTCTCCCCCATATACTCTATCATGCTAAAATGGCAATGCTAGTGAAGCTTTTGCCTGGAATAAGTCTTAATAGTGCTCTGGAGACTTTGGATCAGATTCTCTATATTTTACAGTCCCTCACAGCAAAGGGGGCTGGAAAACCTCGCAGCAGAATCTTCCTCTAACATAGTTGATTCCCTGCATAATGGCTCTATGCTAGCCCCTTTCATGGGGCCAAATTCTGAGTAAATGTTGAAAGTTTATTTCAAATGAAAAGCTAGAGCATGATGGCTAGAAAATGGTATTTAGAGGTTTGCTTTTGGGGACTGGCTTATTGGTAAAGTAGATATTGTATAAGAATAATGGTCCAGGACAACAGCAAGGGTTAAAAGGTTTCTAAAAGCCAATTTGTGACAAAGTTTCCTTCAAGGCCCACTGTGTTTGAAGCCAGCAGACACACGGGCTGGGAAACTGAAGACATGTACCACACTGTTCCGTCACATGAGATAAGGTGGCATTAGGTCACAGTGGCAAACTGCAGAGCCCTTGGGATTTCCAGCTTTGGTGAATGGGCCAAATTCAGATGTGTGCATATGCTGGGTTTGTTGGAAAGGAATATGCTGACAGGACAGAACATGGACAGTATGACAACCACAGGAAAACTAACCAACGAAGAGTTATCAGAAGGGAGAAAGAATACAAAAGGTGGGATTTTGGAGCAGCAGAGGGTCCCTGAGAGGGGAAACCGAGAGCACCATGGACAGAGGGCACATCACCAGCCCATCTCACCCATCCCACTGAGCAAGGGTGGGCCTCGGCCTTCGACCTCCAAGCTGCTGACATCTGACATTCGAGAAAGAATGATAGGGTGAAGCTCACATACTGGTCAGATGTACCTTCTCTCTGTGACAGCCCTAGGACTGGTAGATATAGATTTTGTTTGTGCTATTCTTATCTGCTATCACTGTGTATCAGTAAAATTTGGCTTTTATCAAATGGAAAGGTTGTGGTTGGTCTGAGGGTTTGGGTCTGCCTGGAACAAGGTATTTGGGTCATAAATCCATTGCCAACAGAGCAGGCAAACCAAATATGAGGCAAGTTGAATTGTGCTGTCCATTGCAAAGCATACAGTAAAGGTAATTATTATTTTTATTTTTTCAAATACCTTTTAGCTTTACCTTCCCTCTAAATAGGCGCTGAGCTGGCACTCACTCAGGGCTAGACTGGCAGAATCCTTAGTCTGTTGCACAGACCATTACTCTGCTACTTTGGTCACAGAGAAGGGGACAAACCTGCCCAAGGAAAAGGATGCAGAGAGGCAGAGAGGACTGCAATGGGAGAAACCTTGGTTGCTACTTCTGCTCATTGCCCATTGTAGACAGCTGCTGCGGAGAGAACAGTAAATTGCTTCACAAAACAAGGTGGACTTACCCATGAGAAAAAAAGGAGGTTAATTGGGTAAGGAATGATGACTTTCATCTACAAAGGGTTCTTTGGTCTGCCTTTGAACTGCTGCGGCTAGGTACCATGCTTACAGTTCCAGTCTATATACCATGGAGCAATCCCCTGAGAATAAATGGCAGTTTTGCATGCACAACAGGCACAGGATGCAGCCACAACACTCTAGCTGTGAAGACCACCGTGGCCTTTCTGCACTTTGCCCTAGAATGGTGCGTACATGGGAGAGCAGGGGAAGGGTATCAAAATTTGGCCAAACATGACATATGGCAAACAAAAGCCCTAATTTTCAAGTGAAAAGTCAACCAGATGGTAAGCTAGTAACAATTAAAGGTTGTTTTGCCAGGAAAAGAAAGCATCAGTAGAATCCACTGTAAAATACAGTTTTGTACCTATCACATGACTCTGACATGTCTTGTTTGTCATGCTGTCCTCTTCATCTTCGGGCTGGTTTTCCATGACATCTTTAGTCTAGAAACATTATGACAAAAATAGGAAAGATAACATCCTTCACACGTCTATTTTTTAATGTGATTTCATAATTTATTTTATTGTTTTATCTTGATTATTTACAATAATTACCATAATATCCATTTAGAAATGTACTATAATTCAACTGCCCAAGTACTAAATGTGAGAATTTACAATATTCTGTGAAAGATATCTAAAGATAATAGCTTTGATTCTAAATCCCCTAAAAAAAGCCATCATATGCGGCTGTCAAAAAAAATTAAGACTTGGGGAGATGTAATTCCTCAAGAGGAAAAAAGCTTCTGCTACAATTTATTTTAATAAGAAAAAAGAAGTATGCTCAGATCTCATGACCATTTTTTTGTTTCTGTCCAGGAATATCAGGTCTCATTCTTTTTGCCAAGGAAAAGATGACATGAACTTAATGCATCACATGGTATCTCCTTAATTCAGTTTGCAGTCTTTTCATATTAAGGCTTTTGCTTCCACCTCTGTTAATAAGCATCTCCTTATCTACATAGAAAGCCAATCACAACAATAAGAATGCATTGCCCTGTTCTCATCTCTTCATAATGATTTCAAGTATTTTAAGTATTTTGTCATTCTAATCCATATAGATTTGCTATGAGATGCTTGATATGAATGAATATTTTACAGCCTGTTTGTTCTTCCATTCTCCAAAATGGGTGCATACATAAGTGAGTTTTTTCCCCTGCTTTTATGCATTTTGTCAACTGATTCCTTACATATACAGACAAAAACATCTACAGCACACATATTTGTAGCCATGATTCAGAAACGAGGCCATGTTTTTTTTTCCTTACATCACACCGGTATGTATAAATGACACAGGAGTGAAGAGAATTTCAGCAAGCTCTTTTCAAGTGCTTGGTGGTCTTGACCATTTTCTGTTGTCTTGTACCTCTGACAGTATCCATTTCACTTTATTCAAAATAGCCTTAACTATGACACACAACCTGAAATCTTAGAATTCATTATGCTCATTTGCATAAACCAGCACTGATATGATTTTTTTTTTATCATAGCCTAAATTCTGCCTCCTTACACATAGAGTGCCATTGACTTCTTGCAACTAGTAGACAAGAAGGATTCAGTTCTGTATCTTTGCAAAGCCATTTATAATTTATTAACCATACAGATTTTAGAAAATCTTCTTCCAGACATGTAGAATGAAAAGAAAAATACAGGTATCACACTATGCCAGTGACTTCCTAGTGGTATGTGCCTTGTTAATGGTCCTGAGCCCTAACTGCAAGTCAGTGGGTGCATCTACACGAGACACTTTACTGTGTAGTAGAGCAAATTACTGCGTAGTAAGCAAGGCCATCTACACATGCAGACCCTCACTGCTAGCTGCCCCATGGGCAAATTGGGGATGGGGGCTGGGACTTCCCCTCCCCTGCAGTTCTTTCCAAGCCCTCTGCACCCAACTGGGGAGCCAGACTGGGACCTGCCTGCTGCCAGGGCAGGGGGATATTGTCTCCACTTGGGCTCCACCACAAGAGCCTGCCCCGGCAGCAGGCAGCTCCCAGGGGCAGGGAGCAATCGCCTAACCCCCTCCAGGAGGCAGCTATGTCCTGGCTCCATGCCCCCATCCAGCCCCTGAGCTAGCACCCAGGGGAAGCTCCCCCTGGCCACTGCACTTCTCCCAAATCCATGCACATGTAGACACCTGCCCAGGGTGGGTTGTTTACTCCCTAGTAAATTACTCAGGAGTAAACCCATCCAGCAGCATTCGCACATGTAGATGCACCCAGAAAGGCAAGAAAAGCTTACTCAGCTCTCATTGCCCGAACTACAGTGCTCCTCTGTTCTTCTCCTACCTCACACACTATTAGAGCAGCCTCTTGGCTTGTTCTTACATATGTTGAGGTGTAATAGTCACAAGGTAAAAGAAATCAGGATGAGCATGGCATAAGTATCTTGACCAGGCCCCTTCTTGTAGACAAACCCCTTCCCTTGTTACGCCTGCAGCAGCAGGGCTGTTGTCAGTGTCTGTATGTCAATGCTATATCACCCCTTCTTTACAGTGATCATACAGAGATGACTTTTATGATCTGGGGCCAAAACATGGAAACAGTGCAATGCAAAGCTGTAACATCTCCCCTGAAGTTATTTGCAATGGCAAAAAGACGTGGGGGCCTACAACAAAAGAAAATGAATGTTTTTGTTTTGTGCTGGTAGGCCAATCCATGCAGGCAAGCAACTGAATGGCATTTGGCCCTTCAAGTGAGGTGCTATTTTTTGAATACATATTTTTTGTCACTACATATTTGGTGGCCGAGTGTCACTCCCAAGGTGCGCGCACAAGGTGGTTGTTGATGGAATGCAGTTTTAACATGATTTAAATGTGAAAGCTGAAGTAACAGTGTTCTCTTCCATAAACCGCATAAAAATTAGGATGAGTGGTGCAGAAGCGATGGCATAATAGGGCCCCCAGCCTTTAATTGGCACATTGAAAGAGAAAAGATTTAATTCTATGAAATATAAAGCACTTTAAAGAAAGCACCTTCTAGAATGCCTGATGTAATTGTCAGGTTTTAAAAAAGCAGTACATACCCGATGAGGCATTGAAGTACGGTAGTTTCAGTGCTGACCCTTGTCACTCAATGTACTTTACATTGTCAAGAGAAGAAAAGGAATCCTCTTAGTTTGGGGCTTTTAAAAAGGCTTATAGTTTTCTCAAAATGCATTTATTTTGCCTTTTAACTGAAAAAAATGCACAATAGGCCATGCTACCACATGCTAGTGTTTTCAGTCACAGCTATCTCTCTAAACTGAATCCCTTGCAATCTGCTTCAACGTAAGCAGGCACCAAAGAATAACTGAAGTAACTAGTAATAAGATGCATGCACTTTACATTCAAATGGCTCTGACAGATGTGCAGGAAGGCTGCTCTGATGCGCTGTAAATCCAGTGTCAGAGCACACTCAATTAATCGAGTCTGCTGGAGTGTGGAAATTAATGCGCTCCAGCAGCCTCCAGTGTCATGTGTATCAACAGCATCCATGCGCTGAAAAGTGCTCGTTTGATGAGCTTCAGTTCAGAGCATCCCACTGCCATTTTTCAGTGCAGGGATACTGATACACATGATAATCGGGTGCTTTTAATTAGCGCAGCTCACTAATTAAAGCTTCCCCCACCTCCCACAGCATGTCCATAAACACCCATTGAGTCCCAATTGTTTCTCATAGAGGACTTTTGAGGACAAGATGAAATTCCACGTGATTTTGAAATCTTGTGTTATAGCCTAATTCTTTAAAAAATTAGCATTAAGAGCTGTAAGTAAATGATTTCATTCTCTTTATTATACATGTTCTTAGCATTTTGGCACTACTTATTTCATTTAGGAATTAAACTCAGCATAATCCATAATAAGGAATTTGCAAAGATGAAGCATATAATGTAATTTAATTTTCAAAAACAATATGGCAAAGATACTTCGATTTCCAGCTTAACAAAGAGCTGTATGGTATAGGATAGGTAAATGCTTTTTCACTATGACTAATTTGTCCTTAGAAGCTAAACAGAAAAATTAGCATTTCTCCATTATTTATGTATATTAAGGACAATCTTTGTACTTCACCGATAAAATGAAGTGTGTTTCTTGAAGATATACTTAAAGTCCTAAATGACTCTTATTGTTATATTAGAAAGACTTTACAAAATGAGAGGGGAAAAAAGCAAAGGAAATTATTGCGGCATTAAAAAATAATAAGTTAAAAAGAAACTGTAGAAGGAATGTGCAGTGTTTTTTGTATTTCTGTATAGTGAAGATATACCCTAAGCTGTCAGGACCATATTAAATGGGGCATAGTTAAATTGAGTGGCTCTGATAAGGGGCTCTGCTTTGCTATCAAAGTTCTAGATCAGTTGGATTGAATTTCCTGCATATTGCACATTTCCAGACTTTCATTCTCTCTCTTTCCTTTCAGTGACACTACAAGGACAGTCTTAGATATGCTTATAATTTGTGGTTTTATAATGCAGGGGACATCTACATTTTCAAAGAAGAGATGATACCATAGAAGCCAGGAGCCAAAAGTTTTCCAGAGCATTCATTCTCCATAGGCTTTCTGTGAGAGGTTTTTTTTTTTCAAATGACCTTGTATATCCTCTTAGTAGAGAAATTATTTGCATGAAAATAAAAATACACATTTGCCTAAACTTAAATGTGTGTGTGTGATACTTTAACCTTATGCACCTTAAACGTCAATACTAAGCTAATAGGTTTTCCAATTCCTATTAAGATGCCCTCTTGGAACTTGCTTTACCTTTGAAGTAAGTCCCAGAGAAATAATTATTTCATATTTCAAATTTTCTCATATGAAATAGTGGCATCATGCTGTATTTTAATAACCCACTCCTCTCAGAGCAGAAGTGATATGCTTAAATTAATGCTGGACAGTGTATGAGGGTTCAAATTATTTTGCTGAAAGGGGAAAAATAATAACACTGAGGCTACAACAAGGAGCAGAGAGAGTGTTTTTATGACACCAAAGTAATGCAGCCCATGTTAAAATGCCTGTATTTTACCAGTATTTGAACTTTAAAACATCCTGGGAAAGGCCCATGTTAAAAGCAAGATTACTCCCCACTGGACATGCCTCTATGAGATTCTACATAGTGTAGCTCATTGCTGTGGTGATGTAGATTTGGCAGGCACAAACCATGATGCTGATGCCACTGCAGTAGGGTTGGAAACAACCTGTGTGCTGCCGGGACTGTGCAGTAATGGCGGTTACCGTGCAGTCATTTAGTACCTGCTAAATGACTGCACTGAATGACTGCGCAGTAACAACTGCACAGTTGGGCGCATTTGTAGAGCATGTCTACATGAGACACTTAACTGTGCAGTAACATAGCTTACTGTGCAGTAAGCACGTGCATCTACAAGTGCACATGCTTACTACACAGTAAATCTTGCTAACCACAAGTAAATTTGCTACCCGCAGATGCAAGTAACAAATTTACTTTCAGTTAATAATGGTGCAGTCATGCTCATGCAGACACCTAACCAGAAGCAGATTTGCTCCGGGTCAGCTGTCCACCAGGGGGCAAATATATTGTTCTCTGCTCCCTGCCTGTTGAAGGGGTGGGTTCTGCCACCAGAGCCCAGGCAGGGACTATGTCCCCCTGCCCCAGCAGCAGGGAGCTCCAAGCTCCTGTTCCAAGATTGCCAGGCTCCCCAGCCCCTGCCAGCCTCAATCAAAGCACAGGGCTTGGAAAGAGCTGCATCTAGCCCCCTGTCCCAATCTGCCAGTGCAGCAGCTAGTAGCGAGCTAGCTGCTAACTGCCCCATTGGCAGATCAGGGCAGGGGGCTGAGGCCTCGCCCTCCCCTGCAGCTCATCCCAAATCCCTTGCCCCTGACCGGGAAACCAAAGTCAGGAGCTCCCTACTGCCAGGGCAGAGGGACATTTTCCCCACTCCAGCAGCAGGCAGCCATGGGGGCATGGTATAATGTCCCAGCCAAGGCCAGGAGACAGGTGTTTTCTGGCCTGGTGCTTCTTCCCAGCTCCTGGGCTAGCTCTCAGGAGGAGCCTAGAGCTCCTTCTGGTGGTGGCAGAGGCCCATTGCAGGACCTCAGGAAGTGGGAGCGGTTTGCTGCAATCAGCAGCAAATCTGCTCCCACTTCTTGCATGTGTAGATGCCTGCCCTACTCGTGACTAAACTGATCCCAGATCAAATGCATGTGTAGATGCACCCACTGGTCTCTAAGTTTAAGTATTAAAAGCTTCACTGCAAAGGGTAATTTTACAGTAAGATCTTACATCACAGTCCAGCAAAGATACAGACAAGTTCTAGCTTTACACACTCCTGATACACCACAAACTCTTCTCACAAGACAGAATATTAAACAATTGCATAATCTTAGCAGAATCAGGGTCTAATAATGGATTAGGCATTTTACTTGAGAATTGTAACATTTCTGTTCTCCAGATAAAGTATTGGATCCAGTTGAATCTGAAGAGAAGCACAAAGTCCACTCCAAGACATTTGGGGAAGAGAATTTCAGAGACTGAAAGGGCAGTGAAGGAACCAAATTTCAGGGCAACTAATCCAGACCTGTGACTTTGAAAAGTCTCCACCCAAATGTGACAAATATTCCTTAAAAGAGGTGTACCACTTTGCCTTTCTCCATTGGGTTTTGCACTTCTTGGTTTTTTATTATTCCATACAAGTGTATAATTTTCGGGGGAAGAAATGAAAAAGAAAAAGAAGAAAATTGCCTTATTATTTCACTGAACTGCACTACGATTATGGCATCATTCTGCATATCTGCAGAAATTGAATTGCCAGTAGAAGCAGGAGGATCTTCATGAGTAGTAGCATAATCTGGCCCGTAATCAAACTGCCAGCTTTTGCATTAATTCATAGTCCTCTAGCAACAAAAAAACACTTCTACCACATATAAACAGTTATTATCCTGTTTGTCTGTACTGACAATAAGGAACACATTCACAAGTTAATAAGAGGGTAATAATGTTTTCATGTACAAAAGGACTTACCAGGGTCTGATTCTGCATTTCCGTATCAGCTTTTGTTTTGCTGTTTTTCTTGTGGCTTCCTTGAGTACTGATAGAGTTGCTGGGAAGAGAGGAGCCCTGGGAGCTGCCCTTCGACACACTCCTGTAGGAAACATTATTTGATCCACTTTCTGTCTGCTGAGCTGCTTTCTTATCAACTCTGCAGGTAGAAAGTGATTCCTCTGATAAATTACACTGCCCTTCTTCAATCACTCTACTTTTCCCATTCCTTTAATGTTTAAAGTAACCTCTCTGTATCTTTCTGTCTCTGGACCTTTGAGTGATAAATGTTTCTAACTAGCCTTGATCAAATCTGTCACTTGCAATTTCAGGTAGTATATCAATTTAGTCTTTCACATATAATGATTTATTTTCTATGTGGGGCTGCTGTGGGGCAAACTGGAAAACACCATACATTGATAGCTGAGTCCCTTTGTGGCCTAAGGTTACAGTAGTTGCAAATGTAATTAATTCTGGCTACTTACCAAATACATGTTTGCTGGTTACAATCAATGAGAATGGGATACATAAAAAACATGTACCTAATTTTCTTCTGTTTCACACCATATGCCTACATTCATGGCTTCTGGTGTCATCTGGATTCCTATCAACTTTGATCTAACTTACCATTCTTTAATTTCAAAGACCATTGGCTTGGTTAACAAAGTAACATGAAACAAATTATCATTTTATTGCTAACCTTTTTTTTCTTCCAGAGATTAAAACCCTGGGAACGTACAAAATGAATGCTGCTACGCATTCCTACTCTAGAAGAAACATGCTTGCATTGTATTTAACACTGAAGCAGCAAGCAAAGCTGAGGGGAAAAATATTGCACATCCCAACTTTGTTTCACAAAACAGTTACCTGTTTAAAAGCTCCTTCATAAAGCCGTCTTTTGCTGAGTAGGGAATTGTGGAGGAGCTGCTCTTTTGTTCACACCTAATTTGGCTGAGAGCGTCTTGTGAAGGCTTTGTATTCTTTCTGCCTTTCAAAACATCATCTAAAATATTGCCATTCTCTGTTTTCCTATTAAATTCATTTTCTGCTTCACAGTGCTGTTCGGTTTTCTTTTTATCTTTTTTTTTCTCTAATTTTGCCTGCTTATTTCCCAAAGTGGAACCTTTTGTATCTTTCTTCTCTACTTTTGTTTTAGAAACCTCTGTCTTCCTACTGCTCAGGGCTGGCAGCTTGCTCTTCCGGAAACCAAACCAGCTAGCTAGAGAAGGCCCAGTCTTTTGTTTGGTCTCAGATGTGGGAGATTTATTTTGCCCTTGACCCTTTTGTACATTTTCCTGGATGCACAGCATGACTTTTTCTTCTATCGTAGGTTGTAGAACAGGTGAACTCAAAGCACTAGTAACCTTCTCAGGGGCTTCGGATAACTTTACAGAAGTTTGTTGTCTCTGCGATTTGGCTGCTTCAAGTTTACGAGGATATTGTGTGTTTTGAAGTGATGGAATCTGCTCTGATGAAAAACCAGGTGCTGGCTCCAGCTCCAAATCTGTTTGCATGGCACGTTTTTTGGTCAGGGGTTGCGGTTGAGAACTATCGCAGCTTTTCTCATTGTGGATGGACAGACTCGGTGTATCTTTCTGCGATGGTGACTTGTTTCCCTCACATTTAGAAATGCTGTGAAATAAGTCTCCTTTTGGGGATGTTCGAAATGGTAGTTTGCTTGGGCTGCCATGCTGACTATTGCAATTACTTGTGCTTCCATGAGAACTTTGTCTGCAACAGGACATTTCTAAGGCTTTTGAGGTACTTGAAAGGGTCTCGGATGTCACTGCTGGCCCAGGAGCGGCCTTGGTTTGAAATCCGTCCGTGGTAGAGTTCTGCCGTGTTAAAGAATTGCCTCTTTCAGAAGTGTTAGTAATAATCTGAGTCCGGACTTTTCCAAGCCCTTCTGTCAGAGGGGTAGATGCTTTTTCTCCTGTATGAATGCTAAAACTTTGACTACGGGCTTTTGCTCCATTCATGCCCAGAGCTGGTTTCAAATATGACTTGTTACTAGAAGAAATAGATCGCTTAAAAACTTTGTTTTCTAATCCATCTCCTCTCTCTACCAAGCTGCAGTTTTCAGGGGAATGAGGTGATAGCGTATCTGTACCAAGTCCCACACCAAAATTATCTTTTATTTCCATATCATGCTTGCTGACTTTTAATTCAGTACCAGTTACATCTGTGGCAGTTCGACATTGGGATTCTTCTGGCTTGCACTTACTCGAACTCACATTGCTTCTGGAAGCTGCATTGATACTGTCTTTTTCTTGCTTCCCTGGGACCGTCGAACTCTTCCTGAGAAGCTGGGGAGATTTGACAAGTAATTTCAGTCCTACAGGGAGACGGGTTTTAACTTCTTTCTCATGAGAGCTCTGGGCAGCATTTGAGGTGTCACTGCCGTGAAACGATGGCGACAATGGAGAATGGTTTACCTGAGATAGAAAAGGCTCACTAATATTAGCTGTGTGACATTGTGGGGATGTGGGGGGACTGTTTGGTATCTTTTGTTGCTGAGACGCTCCACTACCATTAGATAGTCCTTTTCTGCCAGAGTGTGCGCTTTGTGAGGAGTTCGTTTCCAGTGACATACAAGCCAAAGAAAGAGGCTTGGTTGTCTGTGAACCCGGGCTAGACAGTTCCCTGTTGCTGCAGGATGCCACCTGATTAGAGGTTTTGGGGAAAACTCTCTTGGTGAAAACTTTGGAAGGCCCTTGGGAGGTTCCCGGGGAGCTGTGGGATTGCTGAGAGGTGCATTTGGCTTGCGCACTCATTTCTGAATTCTCTGGAAGGTAAGCTAACTCAGTTTTAGTCTCGGTGGATGCTTTTCTCGCTTGCATTTCATGACTGGATTGGTTATGGAAAGCAGGATTTGCATTTCCTTTTAGAGGAGATGATTTAAGTACATTTTTTGCTGGTTCACCAGAAGCCGGGGCTCCTGGCTTTATGGATAAAGGTGGGGAATGTTCATAGTTTGGTCTTACCAACAGGGATGTTGACCTGTCTGGAGGAGGTGGTGGGGAAGGGGACCGAGATCCTATGGCAGCTAAATCAGAATGAACATCTCTAGTTGGGGGTTCTCCATAGACATTGGGCTCTACAAGGCGTTGAGGCAACAATGGTGAACCTGGAACGTGGCTCTTTGGATTCCTTGTCCAGTCACTTCTGCCTGGAATTTGAGGATGTTGCGACGAGTGGGAAGGATGCTTGGGAACCTGCGACTCTATTTTTGACTCCGAATGATGAGTTGGACTTTGTGCCTTTTTGAATCTTGGAAGTTTTACAGGTGGAAAAGCTGGGGATTTTTCTAGGGTTGTAGAGCCAGCTGATGAGGCCATGGTATTCTCACTATCTGTCATCTTAGTTTTCTGTGGTGAAAACTTACCTCTGCTGGGTATTTTACTCAAGCTTTGTTTTTGATTGATACCTGCAGGCCCAGTGGAGATGGAATTGGCCTTGCATGATGTAGTACACACTGGCTTCACTAGCTTTTGTCGTAGAGTATTTTGCAACATAACTCTTCCAAAATGTAAAGATTCATTGCATGTCATAGGGACAGCTGTATTTTTATTCCCCACATTATCTTGGACAGTCCTTTTCTCTGTTACCTCGTCAGGTGTTTCTAAAACAGTGTAGTTTCTAGCATCAGTTCCTGTCTGCAAATTAGTTATTCCCTGAGGTATAAGTTCAATGTATTCTGCACGGGGCCCAGTTTGTGACTGGTTGATTGAAATTTCATTCCTTGTTACAGTGACAACTCCAGTTTGATGCGAGTTGAATTCAATAGGCTCACCATCCTCAGCATCAAATATTACAGTAATGCACTCTTCAGAAGAAGTCTTTTTTATAACCTTTTCTTGTTTAATGAAATTACAAGTCTTTGGCCTAATATCCATCTGAGCGGATTCTTGTTTTTTTTCTTTATCAGTAGATATACACTGAGAACTCTCCATCCTTGAAAGCATGTCAGAGCTCTTTGTATGCCTGTCAGCAAAGGGAGTTAATAATAAATCTGATGGACTTTTCTCATCACTACTTTCTATATGTAATTCATCCAGGACTTCATTGTCATCGGTATCTGAGAGCTGTAAATTAAGGTCCTTCCAGCCTATATTAGCAACGCTTTGATCCAGCTTCACGTTGGTACATGATTTTACTTCTAACTGAAGTCCATTGACAAAACTAGTCAATTTTTCAGGTCTTTCTTTTGAATTAAAATATGAACCTCTGTCCGGTAAATGTTTTCTATTAGGCTCCCAACCAAATAGACTGTCAGAAATACTGTGGGTTAATTTATTGCAATAGATCCGGCAGTCCTTGCTTGGTATTTCACGCAGCAGAAGTAAAGATGAAGCCTCATCATCTGCATCATCATGTGAATCTGAATCATAAGTGAAAGCTTTGTTGTGTTCAATGCAAATGCTCCCTATTTCCACCGGCTTACAACGAACCAGTTCTTTATGGCTGCCACACTTAATTCCAGGAGAATATATTCCTTCATTGGAGTCCATGCAATCTTTGTAACCCCATTTTGATATTACTGAAGGTGATTCAAGTAATATTTTTCGTTTTTGTAACTTCTTCAGCCCTTCCAAAATATGGTTTTCCTTGATACGAGTTGGAGGTAGATCATCGGCGGGACTTGAGAGGTTGCTTGGGAATGAAGAACCAATGCTTATCCTTTGATCCCAGCTTATAGATGACTATTAAAAACCAAAACAAAACAGAAATTACTGAAAACTAGTGAGAAGAAAAACATAACATGTCTTATTTCATATGTTATGAATTCCATATACTCTTAAGGTCCCAACTCTGGACAAGTTTACCATTTTTGCTACTGCTGCCAGTGTTATTCCTTAATGAAGGCTCTCATAATAAAGTGAAAAGGGGTGTGCAACTGGAAAATCAAAGAGAGTGAACATGAACAAGGAGGTAAGAGGGAAATGAGAAGGACTCTGAGTGTCAAAGAGACAAGGAACACACATAAATGAGAAGACTGAGATTAAATCAGAGCAAGAAAGGCACCGTGAAAGGATGATGATGACTGGTTGAATTAAAGGGAAAAAGGAAATGGGAACAATGGAGTGAGTGAATAATAAGGGAATGAGGAAGGCAGGTGAAGGAGCTGTATTTCTACAGGCCTAATTATGCGCAGCTGACCTGCCAGTCTACATGAAAGGAAAATATAGTGAGAGCTAGACAGCAGATATGCCAAATACTGAGTATTTACTAGGGGCTCCAACATCACTGTGACAAGCTGGGCCCTGTGCCAACACCGTACTAACACTTCTTCTACTGCAGATATTTCCCTAGCACTCACAAGCGTTTTGAGTTAAAAATAGATTTAGGATTGTGAGGGTCTCAGGTATTATGGTATTGGGGACATGTAACTAGGTAAGATAGTGAGCCGTTGCCAGAATTAGTAAAGCAGCAGTGGTGGCAGTGGTGAAGAAGTAGCCTTGTTTGGCATGTGACTTGTGATACCCTGCAATTATGAACTTCATAACTTTAACTAGATGTGACTCAGGAAGTTTAAAGCCAACCAAATAGCCCAGAAAACAACTGGGGATGATGGAAAGTTCCTTATAACTGCTGATTTTTTATTTAGTTTTTTAGTATTCATCTATGAAGAAGCAGTGAACTAGGGACATAAAAGGCCTGTGGCTGGTCTTGTTTGTCCTGCTATAATACGCATAGCTACTAATAAAATGGGTATAACTTCATTTTTTATTAATCAAAGGGTCTGGTATCTATTACTGAGAGAAAACCCCAGGATCCTTCATAGTTTCTTACATGGAAGTCCTTTTTCATCACTTTTAAAATTTTCTTTTTATTTATTTACTTTTAAAAAGTATCAATCACAATAGAACAGAAAATGCACGAGTATGAGAGCAGGCACATCCAAATTGAATAAGCTGCCAGAGCAGCTGACTAGTAACAGCTGTGTCCCTGGCCAAGTGCCTGCTTCCTGCGTGGGTCCAGGGTTGCACCAACCAGGGGACCTGCTCTGGCACGGAAGTGAATATGTGCCAGGAACTGACAGCCCAGAGGACTAGGACACTTGTGCTAGGGAGCAGCCTTGAACTCAGCACCTGTCCATTGCTAAGTGGTCTTGCTGTGCCTTAAGCCACAGCGGGGCTACCTGACAACAGGGAGGAACCGGGTTCGAGGCTGCTCCCCAGCGCATGCGTCCTAGAGCTCCGGGTTGCCGGTGCCCACTGAGTATTCACTTCCTTCCCAGAGCAGGTGCCCAGCTCTCACTTCCTTCCCAGAACAAGAATTATGCATACTTGGGAAAGGACGTTTTTGTACAGAAAGATACTGGGATGATCTTACTTAACCTAAAATGATGGCAAATTATTCCTCACCTAAAAATGTTAGGATAAAACACCTATCTTTCTGACTGTTTAGAGTAGTTTGTGCTCCTCAAAGGGTGCGGTAGAAGGTATATTCTTTTGTGAATCTTAAAGCAACATTTGGAGAAACTCTAGCAAAATATACTATACGGTAATATCTTCCACCAGAAGGGAGGAGGAGTAGGTGAGATGTAATACAGTAGGAGATGCACGCTTTGCATGATTAGGTTCCCTACTTTCCTGTGAAGATGAGGTTTTGTGAAGGGATTACAAACAACTGGCCAGCTGCACAAGACCACTGAAGTGCTCCAGATGTTTGTTATAATGCTTCATTTCAAAGAGCAGCACTTCTCCAATCAGCTGCAATGGAGCACACAGCTCCAGGAAATGGAAAAGCAGCACCCTTGGAAGTAAAAGACCACAGCAAGAGGCTGCGTGGCTTATCTTTAAATGGTTGCAAGCCCCCTGGATACAAATGACAAGGGGCCTACTCTCAATGAAAAGGCGTGCTTCTGTAACACCCCCACACACTTGGATTGTGTATGCAAAGCATGTGCTCCTGCCAGTGTAGTGAACCCAACGAGCAGCTTATAGGCCTCTCTGGTGTGGACTCCTCTCTCCTTTGCATTGCTGAAAGGCTGGTATAGGGGTGCAGGCCCCCAGAACTACCTGTTGGGAAGCCCCAAGTCCCAGACTGCCTCGGTATGGTTGAAGCTTCCCCCAAGAGGGTGCCACTTACAGACTTTGCTTTGGAGCCAACAGTGTTTTAAAATTACATTTAGTGTTTTGGGGGGGGGGTTATTCTCTGTAATAAATGTGGGTTTTGTGTTTGTACTGCTTGTGAGGATGGGGTTTTGTTTAAACAGAACACCCCAGCAAATTTAGTGTTCCCAGATTTCTGGGGAGGGACTTGAGCCACTGGTAAAATTTAGGGGGTACCCTGACACGTGAACCCAGCCCTTCTTGCTGCTGACCGGTGCCTTGCAGAAGGGCTGCACTTCTTATAATGTTCTATTTAAATGACTGTAATGCTTGTGAAAGGTACTGAAGTCAAAGTCTAGAAAAGTCAGGCCCTTCATTTATGAATGGTAAATGCAGTATCAATGTGTGTTGCTTTGTGTCAAGACCATATTTAGAAGTACCAGCCTCTAGGGATGAGAGGATTATTTATTACTCAGAGTCATTCATGGCCAGATTCTCTGACATACCCAGGTTTGGTGTCTCACTGCAACCTGGTGCACATTGCAGAGCAGTCTGTGGTTCCTCTAACACATGCCATTGGCAATGTTTCCCAAAAACCCACTTACCAGCAGAGGATTTTAAAGAGCAATCTACTCATAGGATAATACCACATGCTATCCTAGGAAATCTGAGCAGCCCAAATGAATCACTGGACTTGTATAAATTGGGGCAGATATTGGTCTCATGTATAAATGCATATGCTCTTTCTGTGCATAAGGTTGCATTCTGTAAGGCTCTTATGCCACTTAACTTAAATAACTAAGGAGTCCTGCCTCTCACATCCTCACATTTGCCACTGCTGAACTCTAACATTAAACTTTTGTGATAAATTAAGTGAGGGGGGACGGGAAGGAGGGGAAGAAAAGCAAGTATGTCAGAAATTATCAACTGTTCAATTAATCTTGTTTTATATTGTTTCAGATAAACTTGGGTCAATAAAAGAAAGAAATCAATTCACTTCACCCTTTTGCTGCACGTCTTTCCATCATTCCAAGTGTAGGAGGAGCCGCTGGAATATTCACTGCAAGCACTTGACAGGGAGAGTTCACTGCTACTGCAGCTGCTCCGGGGATAAAGGCGGCTGGACCCTGTTATATTTAATTGACTCTGGCATTTCAAGGCAGGTATACTGGCTTTCACATTCTGCTGGCATTCCTAAAACAGACGAGATAGAAGTATCATATGGGTGAGAACAGACCATGTCCACTTTCCCCTGGTTTAGTTAGAAGGGCAAAATGCAAGCATGTAGTTCATTATTTTCATACTGCACCATTACGACATGTAAAATGAACATGCATAAGTAAAATACATAGCTCTCATTCTGAATATATTAAAATGGAAACACATCTGAATTCATTCCATTTTCTTTCTTTCTTTATTCTGGCTCCGCTAGTCTGCTGGCTTTTCAATAAGGGTGTTTTGAGTGTATTTGAATGTTGCCGTTTATATCAGCAGCATGTTTCAGTAACATACAGCAAACAAAGTTATAAGAGTACAAGTACATCTTGACAACTGCATTATAGTCCCACAATGTAACAGATGAGGCTCTACAAACTGGACAAGGTAAATTAATTTAGTGTCCCAACCAGAATGTCCACTGAGAATGGAATCTCTCCATTACAGTCTAATTTTGGTTTCCTATCTAGTCCAAAGCTTTGTCTAAGAAAGTCTCTGATGTAGGACAATCCATCTTTGTGTCACTCCCAGACAGCTGAAGCCTCTTGCTTATGCAATTTATTGACACTTTATGGCTGCCTTTAGTACTAGTGTAGTTATCGCCCCTCTCCAAATGCAATTTCAGCTGACTGTGACTAAATGCCAGCTTTGAGGAAGGGAGTAATGAAAAGCAGATAGCACTTTAAGTAAAATATTAAACCTTTGGAGGACTATCTAGGATGTGTTTAATTTGTTTTCAAACTAATACTCCTATGCCTAACAATGCTAGACCTTCTTTAATGGTAAGTGCTTGTTTTGTTATGCTGTTCTGGTATTCTCTAGTTGCCATAGAAAATCAGACACTTTTTTAATTATCCACAATACCAAAAAGAGTGATGCTACTTTATTTTCTCAGAAACTTTTCCATTGGATTTCATTAAAACTAGAAAATAATCTTACAGCCAAGCCTTAAGCAATATTTATTGATTTCTGCACTTGTTTATAGCCTAATATGGTTTTGCTTAGATGGGTGTTTTCACATTTATATCCCAATAGGACATAAAGAAACTCGAAGTTATATAATCTAAGAATAGCTGGCAATACTATCAGATAGGTTCAATGAACATGTAAATGTTTCATGGAAATCTTAGGAAAACATTTCATTTACAGACTATTCTTCTTCTAATCTGTAATAGGCTGGCTGGATTTTTGTTCATATTTTTTAGCCACCATGGCTGATGCTGTACTCAGCCAAGAGCCTGAGAAAGGATTTTTATTGCTGAAGAGTTCATCACTACTGCTGTTCATTCCTCACCTGACATCATAATGCTCTGTTTTTGACAAACCTAACTACAGGGCAAACCATTATTCTCTGTCATGGGCAAACCCCATGAATGGAAAAATCAGTCATTGGTAGCAGCAGCAAGGTTTATTTACCTCCAGGAATTATTGGCGCACGTGCTCCTAGGGAGCAAGAAGTATGAGAGGAGGGACTTTCAGGTCTTGTGGACCACAAGGGAGCACAGATCCTACATCTCAGGCTCAGGGGTCTATGGCAGGGTCCTTTTGCCTTGTTGATACAAATCTCATTTTACCCCTGGCACCCTCGGGAAATGCTGTCATTGTTTATGTCTGCATCCCCCCTTAAAGGCATAATGGCTAATAGCAGCACAGGATATGTCTACCCTGTGCAAGGCAAAATAGAATTAACTTTTGCTAACTGTTTCAGCTGGGGTGCTAGAGAAACATGCTGGTTTGAGAGACAGCACATGAGGTTGCACCCTACACGCCAAGCCAGACATGTCACCAAATCTGTACCACCCAATCTACGTGGCACTTGCATGGAAGGCATTCTGTAGCCAGCGGGGAAGGTTAGAACACATCATGTTGCAGACCCCTCCCTTTGCTCTCCCATTTTTGCCTGCTTTGGGAGGCATTTCTTTCTCCCCTTTATGCTAAAAGAAGGAGATAGTCCTATAATTACAGAGAAACAGTAGCAGATGGATATCTAGGGGGAAAAAAAATCTGCGTTCATATAAATATCCTTATTATTTATGGCAAATGAGAAAGTCTGGAAAATATATAAAAAGGCATCGTGGAACGTTCTCCAAAGCTGCTAAATTGCAGCAGTTCTTTTAAAGGACACTGACATTTTCTTCTACAACTTGCCTGACTTCTCTAGATTCTCTTTAGCCAGCCTTAAAGATTACATTTAGTTCATATATTTAACTTGAAGATTAATTTATTAATTTACATTCTATAATCTGAATTTTTTTTAATCATGAGTTTTAAACTATTACCTTTAATGAAATCAGAGTACAAAAGCTGAATGCCAGATTACAATTTAAATACATAATTGTTGGTAAAAAGGAAAGACAATTGAATGAATCAAACAATTACAGAGACAAAACTTCACACTTAGAAAAACCTAACCTGAAGGCTAAATTACAGAGTGTACGAGGGGCTGATAATATCTTTGTGAAGCTCTGAGAAAGAATGGCTTTTCATTAAAATACATATTATTATCAAGCAGAGTGCATTTTTGTCAACACTTTTATACTTTAAGATCAAAGACAGAGAAAGGCTCAAGGTTTTGCTCTCTTTCCCCTTATTTCTTTCCATCTTTATGTGACTTCTGTTTTTTAAGCTACTTTTTCCTCTTTGTCAATGAAACATGAAAGCCACGCCAGTTAAACTTTTGCCAAATAAGCACAAAGCTGGCCCCATCTGAAAAAAAAATGCAGCGCCCATGAATTTTTAAAAGTTCATACATAATATATCATAAAAGGAGGATGAATAATATGGTGCACGGGCTTTAATAAAAAGCTCCTTGACCATTTCTCAGAGACTCTGAGATGTAATCAATACCCAAAAAGGTATCTTGGGGACATTGCCAAGATTTATATTTTTTTTTTTTTGCTCAGAGTGATGCTTTCTGCATCAACTCAGGATATGATATTGAATTTTAGAGAACAAGAGAAAGGAAAGTACTGTTATCTGCCTCGACAACACTGCAATTCAAGGATGAGCTTTATGCCTCACCCATGACATCACACTTTACAGATAGAAATGAATATTCCAAATGAGGGATTCAAAGACAGCACAAACACTCACATGAATCTGAACATCAGCAGTTCGTGATTGCATCAAACTTCTGTTCCTTTCTACCTCTGAAAGCAAATCCCCAGACGAGAGATCTAAGATGCGGGAATGAAGTTTCTGGGGGATGAGGGGGGAAAGGGAATGACCAAAGCATAAACATTTGATGAATATGCAATAGATCAGCATTTTTAAAACTCCAAACGGCGCACTTAAATTTCAAGGGAGAACAAGCCCCGTGGTAAAAGAGAATTTGTCCTATTTAGAAAGGTTGCCATTTCACCATGTACCAAGACCAAGACCCACTGAAGAAAGAACAGTTGATTTTTCATCTACAGGAAACTGCACTTTTTCTCCTTGTTATTGTTTCACAACTTATCACTACTACATGTTGAACAATGATAAATTAATATGAATGCAGCCATATCTATCCTCAGAGTTTGACAGGTTTGAATAAAAAAATATAAAAAAATGAACTATGGAATTAACATTTATAAAGCAATCAACATATTAACCTTGTTTTATTTTGGAGTTGTTATAGCCTGAGTGAATTATTGTAAAAGTGACCCTATTTTTAAACAGCATTGATCTTGTGAAGCCCTCCCTTGCACACATTTTAACTCAAAGTCATTAATGTCATCTGTTAGGAACAATTAATGTGAATGGAAAATAATTGCATCAGGGAGCAAGGGACTCAGAGGATTTTGTGCATTAATATTCACATACTGTTCGATTACATACTCAGTTCTTTATTTCAGTTTTGCTTGGAAGGACTGCTAAACTGGTGCCATTTCCCTCATATTAATCTGTATCCTAATTACCAAAGTTTTCTGTGTGTATTAAGCCCTATTTTTAATTGCAAATACAATAAAATTCATTATTTATATAAACATTCTTTCTTGGCCAATGACTTCAACAGACAAACGGATCCTATTTGCTTTCCCATCGGTCATGTGAGCCAATGTATTGGATTATAGGTATGAAGGGTGTGATCCACAGCCGGATGAAATAAATGAAAAGGTTTCTACTGACTTCAGTGGTCTTCGGATGAGACCTTATAGTAAAATCCTTGCCACCCTCTAACTGGCTTCTCCAGACTCTATAACCAGCGGTGGATCCAGGGGGTGCAGTGGTGCAGTCACTCTGATTTTAAGTCCACCCAAAGTTTACAGTTAATACTAATGGCTATAAGACTAAAGAAACAGCTTCATTTGAGTATTTTTGTCTAAATATTTTTGTTGTGTTTTTTAATGTACAACACATGATACAGCATATTCCAGTAGTCATATTTGTTTTAACTTTGAACTTAAACTGATTAATATAGCCTTAGGCGCCTAGCATATTAGAAAAGAGTCCAGGGTGCCTATACATGTGCTCCATCATGTTCTAATTGAACACTGAAGCATCATGTGTATTAAGTCCCTGCATGTTTTAAAATGGCCGTGGGGTACTTTAAACCCCATCAAACCAGCCCTAGTTTCTTTTTACCTGGAGAAGAATGTGTGTTGTGTTATAGTTGATGAGGCACCACATCATCTGCATCCCCATTTTCAGGATCCTAAATCCACCCATGCCTACAACTGTAGAGGAATCAAAATGTATAGGAACCATCGTTTCTTTTGTTGTGCTGGTGTGCTCTCGGAGGGAGAACAAGTGGCAGGATGGGGCTTTAGTACCTAATGCTCTGCTAGTTCAGACTGCGCTCCTGGAACGCCATCCACTAAAAAAATGAACAAAATGACAAATAGATTCTGAAAGCCTTTGGTGTTCACAGCTGGTATTGAAAACTTCTATTTTAGGCAATTTAGTAATATTTTAAACCACTAATTATTAATTCGTGAGTAATTTGTCACAAGCTACATATTCATTGAGTTTTCATTCAATGCTTTCATTCAGTTGATGCCATCCTGTTTCAGGCAAGATTATGGGAAACAGTTTTCATGATCGATGTACTGTATAATCATATTTCCTCTAACATACTGTTGAGTAGATTTGAATGCCATAAACACTCTGTATCCGATATGCTTTCCATTATAAATATTTACTATACCTAGTGTAAGTATCTTAACGTCCCTGTTATCTGGTCTCTACCTATTTAGTGTGCATTATTTAAAATGTTGCTACTGGAGTTGCCACCTGGTGTTCACCCAAGAATTGAATACCAGCAAATAAGCATTCCCCAGCTCACAGGTTTTAAGTGAGTACAACTGTTAATTTTGATCTGAGGGTCTTACAGTGGTTTGGCCACTACAATATCCATTTTTTTTCCAGACAGATAAGTCACTGGATTCTATGAGCAGGTGTTGTGCTGTTTTTTTTTTGCCAAAGGATGACTTCTCCAAGGAAACCAAAATCCTGCACCACAATTTAGGGAAAATTTCTATACTAGAGCTGAAGACTAGGGACGTGTGAGTTGAATACATGCTTTAACATTTATTTTCCTAGAAAAATATTCCAGCAATATTACTTCCCAAATCGCAGAGCTTGAAAGCTTACTTCAGTTTTTTTAAGGCTCTTCACACTATTTTTAACAAAAGAACGTTATTGTACGAGTTAGCAACATACATGGCAACAGGTGACATAGAGAACAAGGCAAATTGTTATAACATTATCACATGAAATGTCAACCGTTGCTGTCAACATCCTTATAAACCCAGCCCACTCAGTTTTTTTAGCCTATCAAGTAGGCGCATGAGAAAAATAACTCTTCAAGAAGGAAATAAACCTTTAAATACCTTAACCAAAAAGCATTATTGACAAGATAAACTGTTGAGAGTTATAAGTTATTAAGATAAATGCAGGTATATCCATGTGATACACAAGAAGTCAGGCTAGATGATCTAATGGTCCTTTCTGACCTTAAACTCAACTAATCTATAGAACTATAAATAAATAATAAGCATAAATCAGCAAAACAAAATAATGACTAATAAGCCAGGAAAGTGTGTTCTCAAGATGCACAGCATAACATTTCTGCATTGGATAGCCTTATTAAGAAATCATTATAGTGGAAATGTCCCCCCCACCCCTTTTCCCTGTACACAGACAAATCAACTGTAACAGATATATAATGCAGAATTACCTGCATTACAAACTCTAAAGCAAGAAAAGTACTTTTGGATTAGACAATTAAACAAATGCAGTCACAGAGCAATAAAACAAACTATCCAGTAAAAATATGAACATTCCCCTCCCCCCCCTTCTTTTCTCTATAATAATATGGGGAAACGGGAGGATATTACAGTATTCACCTTGGAATCTGCGCCTGATGGAGAACTTCTGGGATGTCTTGATTGAGGGATACCTGTATGAGAACTGGGTTGGCCTACACCGGGGGAGTGTACTAGCCACATGGAGACATCTTGCAAAAGTTAGCACAGCCCAGAGTGGTGTCCATTTGCCCTCAAATATCCTTATACTGAACATTTCTAGAGCAGTTCGAGGCTAAGAAAATCTGAAACAATAAATCCAGTATGTCTATGCAGGGGATGGGAAAGGGGGGGAAGAGCTGGTTTGTTTCTATGTTTTGGGAGCAAAATGGCTACAGGAAAGAAAAAAGCGAGACTACACAATAGGAGCCCCAAAAGTTATTTGCTTACACCAACTGGGAGAACAGTTCACAGGCAGTAAATCTGCCAGCTGCTCAAGTGAGTAACGTCTTCCTTCCACATCTGAGCAGAAGTTCCTAGTGTATGCAAGTGCAGAATTAAAGACCATAAGCTAAAAGTAGAATAGGATCCTTATGCTGCTTGACATGATTTAATGTTTGCCTGTGACTGCTAAATTTAAACCCATACTATATATGTATGGATAGCAGTATCTTCAGACCAGTAAAACCATTAATAAATCTTTGCTCTTACCCACAGCTGGGACATGTTAACAGTTGTAACTCATGTAACTACAAGGACTCGTAGGACTGATGCTGAAGTGTAAAATGCAAAATCCAAAAAAAAAAAAAAAGACTTGATGGTTGGTTTTAACACTACACACAACTAATTACAGTACGTGGTGATACCTGTGATCTCAGTCTTGAATATGCAATTAAAGCTTGTTCCTTACCTCCCATGATATTTAGTGGGACTCAGCTACATGTGTATTAATGTATTTTCCCTAATACGCATTAACTTTAGTACCTCCAATGTGAGGTACTAAAAAAAATGCACGTTAGGCTGCCCTAATGCCTAGTATGAAAACCACATGTTTTTTAAGTGACGCTTAATGTGCCTATTTAAGTAGCCTATCTGACTGTGCATTAGCGTAATTGCACACTTTTTTACACAACACTTTAATGACCAGTCAAATGGGCTACTGTGCATTGAAGCACACTTGTAGATGCACACTTGTGACACTGTCAGTGATTCAGAAGTACTGCCATATCTTTTCACAATCAACATGTGCCCAGAGTATGTTATGCAATGTATTCTGGACAGGCAGAATGAAGGAACAAAGATTTGTCCAGAGTTATGGTTGCACAGAGCAGGGATGGAGACTAATCTTCACCTGATGCACCCTACCTTTCTTGCTGAACTGAAGGTGAAACCCTAGCTGTTGCTGAAGACTAGTCTCTGTGGGTAGATCAATGATTCTAAAATGAGCTAATGAATCTCCAAGGCTGTGAAATAAAAGTGAGACCAGGAGCAGCTAGCAGACACCAAAATTGTGCTAAGGAAGGTTAGCCTGATTAGTGGAACAGCAAGATCGTTAAAAAGAACTGGTTATTAACACCCGTGGAATGAAGAACTCTGAGCCACTAAGTCAACTGACTCCCTCAGCTACCTGAATTATAATACCAAAGCAGCTCTACTTTGGTTCAGGAATCTGCTCAGGGTGCTTTTAGTTCAGTCAGAAAATCAGTTTCCTTGCTTAAGACCTGTACCCCAATTTGGAGAGGCGGGCAGGTGATTTAGGTTGGGAAAGGGGCATGTTATATGCCAGGACATACAGTACTTATTTTTTTTCCTATAGCCTAAATGGCAGATTTTGTAAACTGTCTCTGCAGACTTGCATCATTGTTTCCTATAGCTTTATTTCTAATTTTTTTTTAACCTACAGTAAGTGAGCCCCAGGGTCTGGGATGCCTCATGGTGGTATAAGCAAGAAGCTGGAGATAGCTATTTATC